CATGGCCTTCCTGAAGTTTTCAGACTTCCGTTAGACTTCTAGCCTTGACAATGACAAGAAAATACATTGCAATTGTCATAAGCCACCTAGTTTGAGGTAGTTTGTTACAGCATTCTTATAAACTAACTGTAGATACTTCACAAAATGCATCGAAGGGTAAATTAACCTCCATAAATCCCCCAATCCCCCATTTCTTCTATCCACCCTTAGGTTTAATGAAAACATTTTTAAAACATTTATTCCTTTCTTATGTGTGTGGGTGTGTGCCTGTAGAGGTCAGAGGACAATTTATGAGAATAAGTTCTCTTCTTCCACCATTTGTATCCCAGGTATGGAACTCAGACTACCAGGCTTGGTGGCGAGTATCTTCACTTGCTGAGCCATCTCTCTGGCACAAGTTGGTTTTTGTTTGGCTTTTGCCAAAAAACTCATCTCTAGAGGAATAGTGCATTCTTTCTAAAACTGAGCCCACCTTATTAGAAGGGAATGTTCACATTTAATCAGTTAGGAGACAAGAGTAAGCATTGAAAGGAAATAGTTTTCATCTTCTAATGGGGTACTTTTAGATGCTGAGATAGCTTGGCAGAGTATGCTTTCTGAGGGTGTCCTGTCTCTGTAAATAGAAGAGGTGAAATGAAAAATCATGGAGAGCAGAGGAGAAAAGGTACAGAGAGGAGATGAGGAGGAGAGAAAAGAAGGGGCTGGATAATGAATGGAATAGACATGACTCTCTTGCCCAAAAGGTCTCGTGCTAGCTCCACCCACACCTCATCAGGATTCTTCTCCAATATAGTAATATTGATTCATGGCACTGAGTCCACCTTTGTCTAGTCCCAGATACTCCATTCTCTTCACAGCAACTTCCCCCTCCCACTTTCGACCTAGCAAAATGTTTCCATAAATGGATTTATGTGACTTACTGGCATTTCCTAACGTTCTTGGAGCTTCCTTAATAGCTCTTTTCAGAATGTAGCAATTAGTGCACTTTAAATCTCTTCTGAAGTAGTGGAAATCTTAGAAAATTTTCCAGAAAGCATCATAAAAATGAAATGGCAACCTTCCTAATGTGCCACAGGCCTGATAGAGCTATTTCTGTTTAAAGGGTAAGTTTAATGCTACTAATTGGAGAACTTGTGGAATAGCTTTGTCATGAGAGGCCCATTCTCTAGTTTACCCCTAGGCCACAATGATAGATTCATGGTGTTACCAGTGACCTCGTTTGGTATTTATTTTGTTTTTGACAGTAAAAACAAATACAGACCAGGGATGAACTGACACTGTGAATTAATACTCAATATATGCCAAGGCTGTGTGCAGTCTGTTGCATACAGTGACACTTGGGTCTCAAAGACTGTGGTGGAGTAGATGCAAAAGGGGCATTGTGGCCTTGAATCTCCTTGTCATCTCATGGATAGTCTTCTACCAGGAGCATCCTCCACAGTCTGATAGGAAAACAGGTCCCATTTTCTGCTTGACCTGATCTTTCCAGCTGGCAGGTGTCAGGAAGTGTGTGAGGCTGTCTTAGGACCTAACTGTCCAAATATTGAGCCTGTAACACATTGCCCACTCCAGGCATGTACCATGGAAATGTCCAGTGAAGTGTGCTCTAGGTCTTTTCTCAATTGGCTATCTCAAGGAGCAAGTCTTAGCATTCTGTTCAGTGTTTTTTAGAGCAAAAGGTATGTGAGATATTTCTATGTTGAAAAATTATGTTGTTTGCTTGGTATCCCCCTTCCTCACCCTGTTCCTTCCTTCCCTCTCTTCTTTACTTTTTGCATGCACAATCTGTGCTGTATCAATGCTAGAGTTAATGTGTTAATCTTACCAGTATCAATATTTAGGTTTTTATGTAGTGCAGTGTTCTGAGATTTGCTGAAGGTAGAGTCCTTGCATAAAGATAAGAATGGTAAGCTAAGGACCTATGTTTTTCTTTGGGACAGGAGGATGGGCTTAATGAATGCTATATAAAAAATGGCTTGTATATTGTTGATGGAAATATATGCTAGAGGAGCCACTCTGAAAAGTACTCTCAAGAAGCTATACATATCACACAGAAGTCGCATTCTTTGGGGGTAGACACAAATAATTGAAAACACACACCTACCCCCAAACATGAGCAGGAATGTTTGTAACAGTGTTATTGCTAATCCTAAAGTGGAAGCAATGCAAATTTGCTTCATGTGGTGATGGACCAGTAAAATGTAATCTATCCAATACAATGATTTATTGACTAAACATGGTTCGAAGTGCTAATATATGCTACAGGGTGGATGCAGCTTGGAGCATGCTGAATTAAAGGAGTTCATCCCAAAGGACCACTTATCACATGGTTCCACTTAGATGAACTGTGCAGAATAGGCAAATCCATAAAGACAAGAAACAGATCAATGGTTGTCAGGGGCTGGGGCGGGTGTAGATGTGAAGTGAATGCTAATGGCCACCAGATTTCTTCACAGGGTAATGAAGTTGGCCTGAGACGGATTGTGGTGTTGTTTGCACAAGTCTGTATTTATAATGAAAAGCTTTGGTTTGGTTACTTCAAATGGGTAGATCATATGTGAGTTTTAGCTCAACGAAGATGTTCACCAGGAATCTAGATATAGATATTAGTATTGTCAGCCTTGTGGTGTGTTCCCAAACCACATTTTATACCTCTAAAAGACACAGGGTTTCTCTGATATGTAAATGCTGAATTCTGTGAGATTTCAAAGCATCAAATAGACTTGGTTTTGGTCTTGGGAGGAACATCACTCTGTATTTGCTGTAACAAAGAGGAATAATGTTTTCTTGATGACTAAGTAGGAGCCAAGACCCAATTTTTGGCATTCACTTAATAATATAGTTGCAACACTTTGATGACATCTGAACAGAGTTATTTAGCCTAAACAGACCTTCCTGGACTGTTTAGGCTGTCAAATATAATAATCTTATACAGCACTGAAGATATGGAGGTTGTTGACAACTGTATTTCTTAGCAGCTGAGTACTTCGAAGGAAAAAAAAAGAAAGTTAATTATGTCACGCTCAGTCTGCTATTGGTGTCCAGCTTTCAAGACCTTCTTCAAGACTTTTTGTCTTTTCTTACTTAGGATTTTGTGTGACTAGCATCCTCCATTATCAGCACCCAAAGGGAGGTATTACTATTACCTGCAATTTTTATTCTACTGCAGCAGCCGATCTCTCCACATCTATAATCTGAATTTAAGACTCCTCAGATAGAAGCAGCTGTGTTTTCCTTGCGAGAATTAGGAACCTCTGTGAAGGCTATGAGGTTGCTCGGCATGTATCAATCTCAAGATTTTAGAGCTAGAGAAAGCCATTTCCCTTAAGGTATTTTGCCTCCAGACCTTGGTGACCCAGTAAGAAAGCCTTGGATGGCCTGCGTGTAGGCAGCCCACATAGCACCCTTTCATGTACTAAGTACTTAATGAGTCCATCTGCAGGGATGGTAATTTGCTCACTGGGACAGATTTTCCAGGGCACTGATGGCTTCAGGTGGCAGGCAGTCCTCAGCTAACACAAGTTAGGTACAAAGTGTTCTTGTCTTCCTCTTCGTGGCCTTTCAGTTTGGAAGGCATTAGCAACTACCCTTGCTCTTAGGCTCTCTTAGGCTTTAACACCTCTTATGTGCCCATGTAAGGAACAAGTAGCATCTAACAATTGCACCTTGCTTGCATATCATGTGCTTATCAGAGAAAGGCAGAACTGGAACTGATACAGACTCAGGCAAACCTCCCTCAGCGTAGCCTCCTACATCTGTTTGTTCTGGAAATCAGATGCAGCTTGAGATGAGGAACGAATCTGGTCTATGCCACATTCAATTTTATCTACACTTAATTACAAGGGCAGAGGATAGCTTAATGTGTTGGACATGGTTTATAGGCTTCTTTCCTGAAAATTTGCATTCCTCTTATATGGTGGAAGACTACATGTGCTATTTTTAATGCAGTGCTTATGGGATGTAATCAAGACACTGTTTAGTGTCAGGACAAGGTAATAATAGTAGCTAATGTGTATTGAGCCATGGGTAAGTGTATTTCTGTCTTTACTCAAAATAAAACTGAGAGTCAGAGTTTGTTCAGGGATCCACTGTTCAGAAGAGGTCAACTGGGTCGGAACTCTGAATGTTCTTTTAATCACATTAGCACACTGGTTAGAGGTGTGGGTCACATATAATGCCATGATTTCAAGGTTAGACTGAATTCTGATTTTTGCTCAATATTGGGACAGACGGTAACCTATAAATAGATATAGTTCTGTTTAGATTTGATTTCAAGCCTAATAGTATATGTAATTATATGATTGCTACTATTAGTGGGTGCTACTGTTTGCTGAGATGCCAAAGTTTGTGTTTCAGGCAGGAAGCAAACCTGCCTGAACTTGCTAATTCTGGTAATTGGCAAAACTCTCACATAACTAAATGGGCCACTTGTTTTTGAAACCAGTGAAAACTGGAAGTTCAGTCATCTACCTGTCATTCCAATCTACCTCTTTAAAATATTAATTTAAATCAGATTTGTTTTTGAAGGATGCATAAAAATAAAAATTGTATGTATTTATGTGGTACTATTAATGGCTTGATCCATGTAATATGGAAATCAGGTTTTAGATACCTGTCTCCTCAAATGCCAATTGCTTCCTAATGCTAAAAACATCAAAAGTTTTATAGCTTTTTGAAATGTGTATCAGGCAGTTCCTATTGATAATCACCCTAGAGAGGAGGTGTGAATCACAGCATCTTGCTCCTCTGTAAAATAGTGACATAGTATCTATCCATCAATCGTTCCCATTTCTCCTCTCATCCTACTTCTCCAGCTTCTGGTCTTCTCTTCCTTTCTTGAGTAGGAGCTAGATTGTGATGTACTGTTTTCCTGTGCTTTGCTTACCTCACTCAAGATGTTTTTTCCAGTCTGCATCATTGGTCCTTAGCTTGGGTGCTGGGTGAACTGTTCAGTCTAAGCACATCAGCCTGATGTAACCAATTCTTCCCTTTCCATATAGATATCATGTCTGATTGGTCTCCTTTGCACGATGCTGCAATCCATGGACGTCTGTTGACCCTGAGGAACCTTATCAACCAGGTAGCTCTAAAAATAATAACAGTATCAAGTATACGTCATTGCTATACCAGACTGAGAAAAGAGAAATCAGAGTTATAGTTAAGATAGACATTTCCTCTTAAGCAAATCAGCAAAATGAGATGAATCTCACTGTAATATCCATCTTCTTTGCAGGCTGTCATAATGTATTTTATGGTAACCTAAGTGCACAGTTTGAAAAATGCTAAATACTTATTCAATGGATTGATTACCTGTAAGTGGTACTTCATGTTGTTTTTAGTTTTCTAAATAAACCATGTTCAGAGGGAGCTGGTTAGTAAAGTGTACATTGTACCAGCCTAAAAACACAAGTATAAACCCAGAGAACCCACATAAAAACAACAAATAAATAAAGTGGGCAGAGTGACATGCCTGTAGTGGTAGCAACTTGGAGGGCAGACATGAGCAGGTCCCTTGCCAATTGATGAATGTTAGGTTCAATAAGACCCTGTATCAAAAGATAAGTTGGTGAAAGATACCTGTTTTCTGTCTATCCTCCATGTGCACACAAAGTACACATATGCGCCCCCCCCCCCAGATTTGCAACACTTGAGCAAATCTGTCATGTAAAGGGATTTTCAGCTGCAGCAATTTTGTTTCTCAGGGGATAATTTCTAGGGGCACCATTAGTGTTGTACTAGAGTGGTGCTAATGCATCTAGTGAGTAGAAACCAATGATGGTGTTAAGTGTCCTACAGCGCATAGGGCAGCCTCTGTGTCAAAAATTAGGTAGCTCTAAAATGTCAGCAGCACAAGGCTTAAAAACTCCTAATGGAAAATAAATGCTTGAAAATGTCTTTTAAAATATGTAGTCTTATAATTTCAGTGACATTTTCAGTTTGGTCAAATCCCCAGTTGCCTATGACTCTCAGCAGTTTGATTTTAGTTTTCTTTTCCTTAGGTGCAATTTGCCTGTATACCCTGATTTTTGTTGGTTTTAAATTATTAGAATCCTATGCAAAGACACCATTCAAAAGGCAGTTTACATCTTAACAAAGTCTTTATTCAGAAAGTTCTGTTCTCTAAAATGTCACTATATCTTTGTAATTCACTCTGTCTTTCTGTCTCTCCGTATCTCTCTCTGTTTCTCCCCAACACTCCCCTCTCTGTGTATAGCGAGGGATGGAAACCAGGGCCTTAACCAGAAAAATATATTTTTCTCTTTTGAAATCCACCAAAATCTATGGATACATTATCAAAGAAAACATTTAAATGTGTAAACTACAAATCAGGGAAACCTATCAAAATATTGAAACAAATATGTGATGTAATAACATGGATTTTTAGATTGATTTGTCAAAATTTTAGCTGTGATTTTGAAACTATTATTATTTATAAGCAGGGTGAAACTATATTAATAATTATGTTTCAATGAAAATATCTGGGATACCTACAGATGATAATGCTGTTTATCACAGGACACGTAAGAGCAGTGAAAAGTAAAGGTGAATTCAGAAAACACCACAATTTCATGGACTTATCAAAAATAAGAAGAAGTTCATCTAGAAGAGTATTATTTCCAAATTATATAATACTACCATAAGCCATTGTGTTAAGTACTTTTGGAGGCAGCAACCTATTAGAAATCAATTCTAACATATAACTCTAGTTAAAAGTTAGTTTACTCAGGTAAAAATGAAATATTTATGTAATTTGGATAGTATTAAAATGATCATTGAAACTTTTATGTATAATTTTTTATTTGGGTTTTGTATATTTTATTTTTATTTGATGAGTATTGGTGTTTTGTCTCATGTATGTTTTTGTACCATGTGTGTGCAGTGCATCAGGAGGACAGAAGAGGGTGTAGGTTCCCTTGGAAAAAAGTTATAGGCAGTTGTTGGTGCTAGGAATTAAACTCAGGTCCCCTGGAAGGGCAGAAAGTGCTCTTCACTGTTGAGCCATCTCTCCAGTGTCATGCATCATTTGTTAATCGGAATAATGCTGTTTGTATTTGATATTTACTGACCATAAGCTTATATCCATGTCTTTTTCTCAATCCCGTTAAATCGGTTAAGTGGGTTGTTATCTTTGGACATGAATCTCTGCGTCTATAAAATGAAACTTCTGATAACCCCCCTTGATTAGTCCACCTCAAAACTCAGGAACAAATACTCACCTCAGTATTAGTGGCAGGATACAATAACCATGGACTTCCTGCTATTGACTGAGTCAGTTGACATAACCTTGAGTTGGCTGGACTCAGCTCTAAGCTGTGGCACACATGTCTCTCATCCTTCTTTGACCTCTGGCTGCTTGAAGTATTTTCATTTCTTGGGAAAAGGCTTTTGCATAGCAGGGCAAGATAAACCATCCAAGGACAGAATGTTTCCAATCTTGGCATATGCTACATCTGCTAATTGTGAATTGGGTAAATCAAATCACATGGACAAGTCCAAAGACAAGTGATCAAGGAAGGATAGATTTTGTTAACTATGACATGCATGTAATAGTGAAAGTAGATTGATGAATTTCATCAACATGTTAACTAAAAATGGCAAACACATGCACAAAATACATGCTTTCTAGGTCAGTTAATGAAATGTTAAGCATAGAAGAGAAAACAGAATGTCCAGTGTTAGATGTCAGCTCCGCAATCCCTTTGGGTACCAGAGGTGGGAGTAATCTGGATAGTATCTAGACATTTTCTTTCTTTACTTATGTGATAGTTACACAGGTATATTTCCTTTGTGGTGATTCACTGATGTGACACTTAAGATCTCTGAGTTGTTTAACATATTTCTTCTACTTCAGCAGAAAGTAATTAAAGTGCCATAGATATAACAGTGAACTTAAGTTTTGGTGGCTTTCTCTCCAGATTTTGGTTACAATTCCCATAGTGTGTTGTTTTGTGTGAGTCTTTACAATTAACGACTCATCACTGGATCTGCTAATAGAAGTCTGTAACCCAGATACTCAGGAGCTGAGGCACAAGGAGTACAAGTTCAAAGTCAGCCTAGCTTACAGACTGTGTTCAAAGCCAGTCTGTGTAACTCAGATCTATCTCACAGTTTCAAAAGGTGCTGGGGGAGTGAGGGGAGATGGTTCAGTGGATAAAGTGCTTGAGGCCCAAGCATAAGAACTAGAGACTGGATCCCAGAACCCATATAATGCCAGGTGAGGATATGGCCCACCTGTAATTCCAGCCTCAGAAGCAGAGACAAGGGATTTCTCCCAAGGAAGCTGACTAGCAAAACTAGTCATATCAGCAAGCTCTGGGTTTTGTTGATAGACTCTTCTCCAGTGAGTAAGGAGGAAGAATAATTGAGGCTAATTCAAGACATAGACCTTCTGCCTTTGCAAGTAAGTGTACTCACATGTACCTGTATGTCCACTCACACCTATGCAAACATGCATGCACTTGTTCATGTACACGCGAATATACACACATGCACACACAAACATCACAAAGCAAACATGAAAATGTAAATAAGAGACAAAAAAGGAAGATAAACGGGGATTCGGATATAGCTCAGTGACAGAGCACTTGCCTAGTGAATGACAGGGCCTAGAATCAATCCTGAGTATTACAACAATGAACCAACCAAATAGTCTGCCAACTAAACTCAGCTTCCTTTTGTTATGTTGCTATCACTCTGGGATGCAGCCTAGATACTAGGACTTTTTGAAAGCTTCCTATGTGATTCTTATATGTAGTCAAATCCAAGAAACTTCTCAGTAAGTTTTTATCACCTTACACCCATCAGAATGGCTAAGATCAATATTTAAGTACATCAATCATGCTGGAGAGGAAGTGAGAAAAGGGGAACCCTCCTCCATTGCTGGTGGGAATGTAAACTTGTACAACCACTTTGGAAATCAATCTGGCGCCTTCTCAGACAATTAGAAATAGTGCTACCATGTCAAGATCCAGCTATACCACTCCTAGGCATATATCCAAAAGATTCTCAAGTATACAACAAGGACATTTGCTCAACCATGTTCATAGTAACTTTACTTGTAATAGCCAGAATCTGGAAACAACCCAGATGTTAGGATAATAAGCAGTTGGGACTAATTTCTCTGTTGCTTTGTGCTTTCCTGGGTCTATATGCAAGTACTCAAATGCTGGCTTTGAAATGACGGTCATAGCTAGAGGGCTACTTATTATACTAACAAAACGACCAAAAATTTCCTTTCAAAGAACAATTGTCATTCATCACTTGATCTGTTGCACAGGAAAAATGCAATTGTGTGTGTGTGTGTGTTTCTGGAAATTGAACCTAAGGCCTTACACATTCGTGGCAGGCAACCTATTCCTGAACTAAGCTGCCAGCCCTCCTCCTTTTTTCTCTTTGAGGCAGGTAGTTACTAAGCTGCTGACGCTAGCCTTTGAACTTTGCTCTGTAGTCCAGGAAGGTTTCAACATTTTGATCCTCACATCTCAGTCCCCCAAGTAGCTGAGATTGCAGGCTTGTGACACCAGACCAAAGTTTGCAGTTAACAGTTTGATCATTTTCTCGTGTGTTGCAGGGTGAGTGGAATAGATTGGACAAATAAGAGAACATTATGAATGAAAACCAAACTAAACAAAAAAATTTGAGATGGTGTTTTCACTAAAATGAAACAGTTCAGAAATGAATCATAATGGCAACAGTAAAATAACAAATGCCACGCTGTAAAGTTCATGGTGATACTTCAGAAGGAATAAATTCAATCAGTTAAGTTCTTCCTGTTTCATAGCACTGGGAGCCATGTTTGAGGATTCATGGTATACAGATAGGATGTGAGGTTCTGGAGGGAGCGAAAATACAGTCTCTTCCTTCCCTGCAAACAGCAGAGAGGGAAGGAGGAGGACTCTCAAGGGCTTTGGAGCCTCTCATATACAAACATATTATGGTGAGTCTCCCAGAGCCCTTCCTAGGGCTCTGGATATGAGCCCCTGTGCACTGGGGTATAAGCATAGAGTGACTTGGTATCTCAAAATGTGTGACCCTGCTGATCAGAAGGTAAAAGACAGAAGCACAGGATGATTAGTGGCT